GCCACCACACCTGGCTAATTTTTGTATTTTCAGTAGAGATGGGGTTTCACCATGTTTGCCAGGCCGGTCTCACCTCAAGTGTTCCACCTGCCTTGGCCTTTATCTTTTTCTTTAAGCTCACCTCTCCAGGCTCTGGCTCTGCAAGTTACCTTGCTTCACCTCCATTTTGGAGGTGGCTTTGCTTACTGAGCTTTAGCTAGTACCCTTATCCACACTCCTGTCCTACCTCTGAAATGTAAGTCTTTAAAAGTGACTTCCACATTTTAAGAGGCATCTTTTGTCTTTCAGAAGATAAATTAGAATTGGTTTCATTTCAATGAGAAGGTTGCCTACTGGAGAGAAATAGCCATCATGAATGCAGAAGGCTCTTATTTTTCTAGGGTGACCTTTCAGATTGGTTTGGGGTTCCCCGTAGCACCTTTAGGCTTTTCAGAATGAGATTCTGCCTCTGCAAAGGACTGATGTTTGCTTGGCTTAGAATGGCTTGAAAAGTCATAGAGTTTGTGAACCAGAAAGATCCCTAAACCTGGAGGTTTACCCAGTAGAGACCTGGGGAAGGAAACAGCTCAGCCCAGAGGGAGCTAAAAGTAAGTGGCTCTGCACCCTGGAAGGAACAAAATAATCTAGTGGTTTTCTCCCTCAGCTGTGCTCTCCGTGTATGTGTGTGTGTGTGTGCACGCGTGTGTGTGTGTATGCGGGCGCGTGCGCGCGCGTGTGTGTGTGTGTGTGAGAGAGAGAGAGAGAGAGAGAGAGAGAGAGAGAGAGAGAGGAACAGCAAACCATTTGCTCCCTAGCGGGGCTGAAGAAGCCCAGCTTGTAATCAGGAGAGTGGAGGACAGATTCCAGAGGAGAAAGCTTCTTTCTGGAGGCCAGGGCAGAAGGCCAGACCTGCCCTTATGTAACTGAAGAATTAAAGATTCTCTTGAGTCTGACTTCCTGTCTGCTGCTGGCATCTTCTTGATTGGAGTGGCAGGAATTCTAGGACACATTCAGCTCTGAAGGGTCTGGCTCTGATCCTGGCAGAAGAACTCCAAGCTCTCCAGGAAGAATTCCTTTAGGAAGCAGCACAGGCAGGGTTTGCCTCCACAGCCAGGCTCTTGGCTGTGACCAGACCTTTGTACCCTGTAAAGTTCCCACGGAGGGAAATGCAGTCCTGAACTCTGTCCAGAACTGGGAGGAGGTGCTGCTGGGATATGCCATCTCTAGGAGGGGGCTGGAGGAGGGTGGAAGGGAGGAGGAAGGGAGGAGGTGAGAACCGGCTCTCCAGTCTCAGGAGGGTTGTGCAGCTGCCGGGCAACAGGTTCTTGGGGGAGAAACTAGGTGTGGAGCAGGGATTTGGGAATGGGAAGATTCCCAAGGGTACAGTGCCCAGGGTGAGGAAGGTTCTCATAAGAATTATGGCAATTAGAGAATTAGAGAAATGGGGAGCCCTCAGAAGGTGCGGGGTCAGGAGCCACTTGACTGTGGTCAAGGGGACGCAGAGCAGGAGAACACAGATGTGGAGCAGGGGTTGGGGTAGGGCTGGGAAGGGGTCAGGGTGGGGGTGACAGGTGCTGTTGAGTGTGGAAGGGGCCAGGAGAGTGGGAAGAGATAGTAACAGTGAGGTTGTCTCTAGCCAAGCATGGGTGGCGCAGTGAGAAAGGCGTGCGTGGTGGCAGCTCACACATCTGCCAAGGCCTATAACAGCTGGGGACAGAGTGGGGAGGAAAGCCAGCTGGGGACAGAGTGGGGAGGAAAGGCAGATGGTGGGAGGACAGGAGGGAAATGAATGAAAGCCTGAAGTCAGGGACTCCTCCAACCTCTCTATCACTTCAGATCTAGATGTAATTAGCTCAGGAGCCCAGAGAGTCATAGGACCCGCAGATGCCCAGGGCTCTGTCACTATTTCTGCTCATTCCAAAGGCTTAAGCTTCGATAGCCCTTGGGCATGTTCATCCTCTTATTGCTAACTCAGGTTACTCTGGGGGATGCTAAGCTCAGCCTCATCACTGTTCTCTTTCTCTCCCTCTCTCTCTCATACCCACAAACCCACACCCATGTGCATGTACACATACACTCAAGCAAAGCATCTTGTAAGTTTTTCAACACTTGCTCAAGATTGGGGGGCTCTGCTGAGCACCACATCCCATAACTTCTGCCTACCTACAGCCTTTCTTCTATATCAAATTTTCACACTTTGCCTCCCAGATTCTAAACCCCACTGTGCCCCCAGGACCCAAATCACCTCACTCAGTTACAGAAAGCAGCCTCCCTCTTTCCTCAGAATGCATGGTGACCTCTGACACCCAAGACCTGTGGACTATTAGGGAGGGGGTCATCTTGTGTCCCAAATCCATGTAAAGAAGCTTATCAGGGCTTCCTTTGGACACAGACCCTCTTCCCAGTGCCATGTTGATTCTTCCTGGAGGGTGGTTAAGATCAGAGCCGGAGATTTATTTTTCCTCCCACAAGAACACTCTGAGAGTGGAGGAAACCATAAGTTGTACTTTTGTTGTTGTTGTTGTTTTTTTGAGACAAAGTCTCACTCTTGTTGCCCAGGCTGGAGTGCAATGGTGTGATCTCGGCTCACTGCAACCTCTGCCTCCCGGGATGGTGATTCTCCCGCTTCAGCCTCCCAAGTAGCTGAGATTAGAGGCACCTGCCACTATGCCCAGCTAATTTTTGTATTTTAGTAGAGAAGGGGTTTCACCATGTTAGCCAGGCTGGTCTCAAACTCCTGAACTCAAGTGATCCGCCTCTGCCTCAGCCTCCCAGAGTGCTTGGATTACAGGTGTGAGCCACTGCGCCCAGCCCACAAGTTGTACTTTTTTTTTTTTCTTTTTTGAGACGGAGTTTCGCTCTTGTTACCCAGGCTGGAGTGCAATGGCGTGATCTCCGCTCACCGCAACCTCCGCCTCCCGGGTTCAGGCAATTCTCCTGCCCCAGCCTCCTGAGTCGCTGGGATTACAGGCACGCGCCACCATGCCCAGCTAATTTTTTGTATTTTTAGTAGAGACGGGGTTTCACCATGTTGACCAGGATGGTCTCGATCTCTTGACCTCGTGATCCACCCGCCTTGGCCTCCCACAGTGCTGGGATTACAGGCTTGAGCCACCGCGCCCGGCCACAAGTTGTACTTTTAAAGAATAGGTCTGAGTTGCAGAAGACTCCAGAATACACGGGTCTCACTCCAAAGGGAAGTGATCTTGTACCTGATCAAATCTCATGCCTGGAGGAGGCTGCAGGGCCCAGAATGAGGTGGGATGACAAGCTCCTCTCTGCTCCTGCCCCCAGCTTTGGTTTCCAAGTGCTGGGGTCCTTATGCTGTGACTTGGTGTTTCTGCTCTCACAGGGGACAGGCTTCTGCTCCTACAGGGACTATTTGGCTTATATCCTAAGTTCAGGTATTCCTCCAGGTCCCCATTTCAGGAAACACCCAAGTCTCCCTGGCAACCTTCCCCTCCAGCTTCAAACAGAAGGCTGCTGATGGGGACATTGGGATGGAGACCTGGGACTTGAACTTGTGTTTTCCAGGCTGTTTGTCTCTGACGGGCCCCAGCTCTGCAAGCGGCACGGAGGGGGGCTCTCTGAGTGTGTGGTGTCGGTATGAGAGCACGTACAAGGAACATAAAAAATACTGGTGCTGAGGAGAGTATGACACGTCATGTGAGAGCATCGTGGAGACCAAGGGAGGAGAGAACGTGCAGAGGAATGGCCACGTGTCCATTAGAGACCGCCCGAAGGCTCTCGGCTTCACTGTGACCATGCAGAGCCTCAGTGAAGATGATGCTGGGTCTTAATGGTGCAAAATTCAGACAGTGTGGATCCTGGATTCATGGTCACACGATCCCTCGACCCCAGTTAGGGTGTATGTTTCCCCAGGTAAGAGCGCCCCTTGTTCCGGCAGCAGGGCTTTGGGGTATGACTGGACCGGAGAACGAGGGTGGACAGCACACTGAAGTGTGTCTGCGAGTCTCTTGTCGTCAGTCTCAGTGGTGTTGGGATGTGCCTATGGCATGTGCAGGGAGAGAGGTGGCTGATCCTTCAGCCTTGGTTGGGCTGGGGGCTGCCAAGCTCAGGCTCTGTCACTCCCATAGGGCCCGGGCTTCACTCCATTACCCAGCACAGAGGAGGCCCCTTCATGCTGAGCCAGAGCTGTTTCCACCATGCCCTTTGGGAAGCCTGTTCCAAAGAAGACACACTCCCGTACATGTGCAGCCTCCTCACAGAGCATCCCCCTACCGTGTTGTCTTGCTTGGGAAGACCTTCTTTTACTTATTTATTTAGAGACAGAGTTTTGCGCTTGTTGCCCAGGCTGGTGTGCAATGGTGTGATCTCAGCTCACCCCAACCTCTACCTCCTGGGTTCAAGCGATTCTTCTGCCTCAGCCTCCTGAGTAGCTGGGATTACAGGCATGCACCACCACACCTGGCTCATTTTGTATTTTTAGTAGAGATAGAGTATCTCCATGTTGGTCAGGCTGGTCTCAAATTCCCAACTTCAGGTGATTTGCCCTCTTCAGCCTCCCAGAGTGCTGGGATTACAAGCGTGAGCCACCGAGGCCGGCAGGAAGACTTTCTTGTTTAGCAGCTTCTTGAGTGGAAGCTACTTTTTCTCTTACTCCCCGTGTGCTAGAGGGCCACGGAACTGTGTCTCGATGCTTCCTGCTCCTGTCACCACTTCCACCTGATGACTTTCCACCTGCTTCCCTTACATGCTGTGCCAGATGACCACACCCAGCCTCTACCTGTGCTCAACAAGTCTGTCCATCAGCTTCCAGGCTGCTCCCCCTCATTCAGCGGGACCTGCCAGCATCTCCACTCCAACCTTTGCCATTCTCTTGGCAGGTTTTAATGAATACCTTGGCAGTCTTGCCTTGGGTTCCTTGACATTCTCAACCTCAGTGTCCTTTATTTTCTACTCTCTTCAGAATCGCACCCCATGGAAATGTCTCAGAGCTTGTCATCACCCAACCTGTCGCTACCCAGTCGTAGACTCAGATCTTCTATTTTCTGACAACTTTTCATCGATCAGCTCTCGCCCATCCTCATGCCACTGTCCCTATTCTCAGCCTCACAGTGACCTTCAATCCTCCGTTCCTTCCCTCCATTCCCCCAATTAATTGCTCCCATCACTACTATTCTGACCTTGCTTCCTTCCTAGGCCACTTTGAACCCCAAGCAATAGCTCACATTTTCTTTTTTCTCTTTATTTGAGACATGGTCTTATTCGGTTGCCCAGGCTGGAGTGCAGTAGAGTGATCTTGGCTCACTGCAACCTCTGCCTGCTGGGCTCAAGCGATCCTCCCACCTCAGCCTCCTGAGTAGCTGGGATTACAGGCATGCACTATCACACCTGGCTAATTTTGTATTTTTTAGTAGGGACAGGGTCTTGCCATGTTGCCGAGACAGGCCTCAAAGTCCTGGGCTCAAGCAATCCTCCTGCCTTGGCCTCCCAAAGTGCTGGGACTATAGGTGTGAGATACCAAGCTCAGCCAGACATTTTCTTCTCTTGCCAGCACCCATAACTTCCATATTTCATTTCCTTATCTGCTTGACAAAACCCTCATCCCTGGATCAATTCTAATTTTTTTTTGTTTTGAGATGGAGTTTCACTCTTGTTGCCCAGGCTGGAGTGCGATGGCATAATCTCAGCTCACCACAACCTCTGCCTCCCAGGTTCAAGCAATTCTCCTGCCTCAGCCTCCCGAGTAGCTGGGATTATAGGCATGTGCCACCATCCCTGGCTAATTTTGTATTCTTAGTAGAGATGAGGTTTCTCCATGTTGGTCAGGCTGGTCTTGAACTCTCGACCACAGGTGATCCACCTGCCTTGGCCTCCCAAAATGCTGGGATTACAGGTGTGAGCCATCATGCCCAGCCAATCCTAAAATTAAGGTCACTAATTATCCCAGTTTGCCCAGGACTAAGGGGTTCCCTGAATGTGGAATTTTCAGTGCTAAGGTTAGAAAAGTCCTAGGACAAGTTGGTCACCCTGTCTAAAATCCACCTTCTCTAGCACTGCTGGGAAAGAAAAGTGAGAAAATGGTGCCTGTGGCTGCCAGTAGAAGCTCAGAGTTTCCAGTATTACTCTCCTGTATGTCTGTCTTTCATGCAATTTAAACTCATTCTTCCCCCTTCCCTTTCGGGTTGACAGGATTCTCCATCCTGTCCAAGGGCGGTCCTCCTGGGGCTGGCTCCTTGTCCTGTGGTTCTCTGCCTCCCCATCCCCCTTGAACCAAATTCCCCTGCCCCCTGCCCCTTAGCTACCCACACCATCTCTTGTCCTCAGACTCAGACTCTAACACCACGCCCACGTCTCTCACTTCCCAAAAGCATCCTGCGGTCTGGCATTCGCCTATGCTAGGTGCCACTCACGTTTCCCTTCTTCCTGCTGGCCTGGGGATGGATCAGGCTTCTCCCCCTGCTCCCATTGCACCTGCTAGGGCTCCTTACCAGGGTCATTTCTAGTTGAAGTCAGTCCATCTGTTTATGTGCCTCTGCCCCTCCCCAGGGTGGGGCTTGCGTCATGTCCATAAATGAATCTCCAGCAGCAGAGGTCGAAGGCTGCTTGTCAGATCACACTGAGCCTGTGTGGGCACCCGGTGAAGGGCTGAGCCTCCATGACAACTGCTTTAGTGGTGCACCTGACCTGAGACCTGAGATTATGAGCTGGGGGTCCAGTGGCAATGAGGGTGTAGACCATGTCAATGGTCTGGTCACCTGAAGTCCCTAGGAGGAGATGAGTGATAACTTATCCCTTCCCTAGGGGTGGCCTACAGTGGCCTTTAAGAGTGTCCACGTGAACAATGAGAACACATGGACACAGGGAGGGGAGCATCACACACTGAGGTCTGTCAGGGGGGATTAGGGGAGGGACAGTGGGGAGCAGGGAGTTGGGAAAGGATAACATGGGGAGAAATGCCAGATATAAGTGATGGGGATGGAGGCAGCAAACCACATTGCCATGTAGGTACCTATGCAACAATCCTGCATGTTCTTTACGTGTACCCCAGAACCTAAAATGCAATAAAAAAGTACATATATATAAAACAAAACAAAACAAAAGAAGAGTGTCCATGTGAAGGGTGCTCGGAGCCCCCTCTTATGGTCTCTTTGAGGCTTCCTGGGCCATAGGCTGAGCCATCTTCCTTTAGGCTTCTCCTTCCCCTCCTCCTCCTGGGACTCCACATGAGGCTACCGTGGGATGGATTTGAGCAGATTAAGGTGGGATTGCAGTTGTGTTTTAGGAGGACTTACCTTAGCAGATGTGTAGCAAAATCTGAAAGGAAGAGTCTGGGAGTCCTGAGTCTTAAGCCTGGAAAACCAGGGGAATGGGGCATCCCTAACAGAAGTAGGAAAGTCAGGAGCCAGCTTGGGTGATGCACAGCTTAGTTTTCTGTGTGTTTGGAATTGTCAGGCATAGAGGTCTAGCAGATAGCTAGAGATCTGGGTTAGCAGAGTGTTGAGGGCTGGAGAGAAACCTGTGTAGAGAGATTAACGGGACCTCAGGAAGAAGTGAAAGCACGGAGGGAAGAGTTCAGGACCAAGGACAGAGCCATCCGGGTATCTGCATTTAAAGACAAAGGGTAAGAGGAAGAGACATTGAACAAGGTGCTGGAGCAGAAACAAACAAATGGGAGTTGAGAAGTCAAGGGCCATGAATGTTTCAAGGAGGAGAGCAGAGCTAGAGAGGTGAATGAGGGCCAGGGTTAACAGGAGGCTATTGAACTTTTCGTCACTAATCAAGTTCTGAAGGGCAGATCAACAGAGCAATGTGAGCAGAAGCCAGAAGGGAAGAGTTAGGAAAGGGTAGACAGCAGGTGCAGGAGAAAGAAACAGTGGCTTCTCTATGCTTTGAATTTTTCATTCTCCTTACTCCCTTTTTTCATCTATTCTTTCTTTCCTTTTTCCATTTATTTACTCATTCATTTAATAAACTTTTATTGTTCGTCCATGGTGCATTGTTCTGGGCAATACAGATAAGGACTTAAACTCTGCAGAGTTCCTACTCCTTTAGAAAGGAAGATTAAGATGTAGACTAACAATAGCAATGCAGTGTGTTAGAATCTGTGTCAGGGGTCTGCACGGTGCTCTGTGGGGGCACAGAAGTGAGACACTCCTATGAGGCCAAGTGGAGAAGGAAAATTGAGGGCTTAATTTATAAAAATAAGGCAGAAGACTGGGGGATGATTGTCCCAGGCAATGGTAGGAAAGGGTCATAAAGCATGCTGGATACCAGGACCTTCAGGAGCCACACTACCATGTGTGCAGAGTGCACGTGGGAGAGGATTGAGGTATGGGGCTGGAGCCTAATTATGAATGGGCTTCAAGGTAGACTAATGAGTTTTAATTGTGTCTAGGAGACCACAGGGAGCCCCTGGAGGTTTAAATTTTTTGAAACTTTTATTTTGAAATAATTATAGGCTTAACACTGCAAATATAATACACAGAGTCCTGTGAATCCTTCATCCAGTGCCCTTCAGTGGTGACATATTACATAACTGTAGGACAATACCAAAACCAGGAAACTGGCGTTGTTACAGTCTAGTTACAATGGTTATCTACACTGCAGACTTTATTCCATTTTCACTATTTTTAACATACATTGGATTATGGATGTGTTTGTGTAGAGCTCCATGCAGTTTAAGAGATCTGTGTAACTACCATCCCAGCCAAAACACAGAACCATTCCATCATCACAAAGATCTCCCTCATGCCGTCCCTTGTATTTGCACCCCTATCCCATTCCTGCCCCCTGGAAACCACTAATCTGCTCTCCAACTCTACAGTGCTGTCCTTTTGAGGACAAATGAAATTATGCAGAATGTAATATTTTGAGATTGGCTCTTTTATTCACTGAGCCTTGAGATCCATACAAGTTGTTGTGCTTATCACAATCAATAGTTGATTCCTTCCTATTTCTCAGTAGGATTCCGTTGCACAAGTTTACAATAATTTACTTAACCTTTCACCCATTGAACACAAACAAGACATGTCTGTGCAAGTAATGGCTGCTGGACTGTGACCTCTGAGGAAAGGGTAGGTGTTTCAGAGCCTCACTGTCATGCCTGGGACCATATGGTGGCCTCAGCAGGCTTGGGAACTGACCTTCTAAAGTGCACAGAGGGGCCTGCAGGGACGCTGTGTGGGCCAGCTCCAGGCTGCCATTCAGGGGCAGAACCAACTCTGCTCTTTGGCCCTGTGACTGGGGACCAGGTGGCTTCACCCCTTCAGGTCCTGCTATTCTTATATGTGACAAGAAGGCACTAAATTACAATTCTTCCACATGGCAGTTTAAAAACATGGCTGCAAATTTCTTGGCACTCCTTCCATTAAGAGTTGGGGCTTATGTCTCCTTCCCTTGGGTCTGGGTGGTTTGTGACCGTTTCAACCAGTGGGCTAGAACAGTGTTTCTCAACCTTTTTTCATTGTTATCTTAGGATAACAATGCATATCCCAGAAAATATCCCTAAAAAAAAATCCCTAAAAAGGAATATTCCTAAAAATATCTCCTATGAAATTTTAATACCAAAGATGTATTATACATCCATCCATTTATCTATCTATCTATCTATCTATCTATCTATCTATCTATCTATCTATCTCTGTGTTTTGTACCTAAAAAGAGCAAAAATACTTTTTCACCCTGCAAGAACCAATATTCGCCCCCACGGGGAGTGCATGTGAGAGGGCCTCTGTGTGACTTCCAAGGCTAAGTCAGAAGAAACCCTGCAGCTCCCTCCTCAGTCTCTTGAAACACTTGCCCTCTGGAAGGTCTGTGAATACTCCCTCTTGGAACCCAGCTGTCACAGGGAGGCCACATGTAGGGTCTCTGGGCAACATTCCAGCAGAGCTGTCTTGGATCACCCAGCCCATACTCCAGACTTGTGGGTGAAGAAGCCTCCAGATGACAACAGCAACCAGCCTGTGTGGCCAGGGTTCACACATCACAACACCAGTTGTTCTCCCATGCTTAGCAGCACGCAGGCTGCTGGAGCCTGAGGCCTTGCCCTTTCTTGACACGTGAACCATATGGACATAGGCACTCAAGATGTGGCAAGTGGTGAGTGTTACTGAAGACACACTTTCTGTGTGTCAGCAGTCCTTCACGGCTCTGCCCTCAGCAGCTCTGCCCTCCACGCTCTGCCCTCCATGCTCTGCCCTCCACACTCCATCCTCCATGCTCCGACCTCCATGCTCTGCCCCCAACGGCTCCTCATGCTACTCTTGGCAAATCTTCAACCTCATTCAAAGAAAAGTTATAGAGCAAACCAGCACTGTTCACAGCTGATGAGATCAATGAGAAGAAATGAACACCAGCAAGTGGCAGTTGAAGAACCCATCTCAGGAGAGGAAGTGCTCAAGGCAATAGAGGAATAGTTCAGACAGAAAATTCTCCTCCATCGCAGAGAAACTACAGACAACAAGGTCTCTCCAAAAAAGGAGCTAAGAAAAGAAATATAGTAATTCAAAAAAATGATTCAAAGTAAAATAGGGAGGAAAAAATGAGCAGACAGAGCTCCGGAAGAACGTAAGTGGAAGAGAATAATAATCATAACAACTTTATTGAGAGGAAACATACATACCTTTGAAAATGAGAAAGAGATGTGTTGTTATTTAATTACAAGTGAATTGGGGGGAGTGAAACATGAGGGCGGAGCATCCTGCATTTGCTATTCACAGCTCGAGAGGTGGAAAGGGCCAAGGTTGGGTTGAATCAGGAGTGGGCGATGGTGGTCATGCTGGCTCTGAGCTGGGTGGGGGGCGGAGAGTGTCACAGGCACAAAGAGGACAGAGTTGAGCCCCTCTTGGGATACAAAGGCCGGACAGGCCCTGGGGCCTCTGCAGCTGAATGATAGTCCATTTTCTCTGACAGGGTCATCCCAGGGCAACAAGGAAAGGAGGCCTGAGGGAGGATCCATGCAGGTGAGATGCAGGTACCTCCAAGGAATCAGCATGCAAGGGAGATGTCCTTTCTTTTATCTGCTCCTCAGGCAGAGGTGGCAGAAGGCAGAGAAGCCCCGTCAGCGTCCCTGTGCTGAGCAGAGCTGGCAGAGAGTGGGATTACATTCCTGAGGCCAGGATGAGGGATGCTCCCTCTCTGCAGGGACTCTCGTCTCCTGGGGAATTGCAATTACTGCTCATTACCTGATGGGAGGCCAGGAGGCTCTGCTGTCCCCTCCCAGGGTGTCGGTGGTGTGGGAGATGTGGTTCCTTGGCTCAGATGGTGACTTTATTTCCCGCTGGAGGCCCCCTTAGCACTGCTTACTCGCAGCACAGTGCAGAGCAGGCCCACGAGCAGCAGCCCCTTCAGGGAGGTTGGGAGCAGGAAGTGGATGTTGCAGAGCAGGATCCTAGACAAAGAGGTCAAGATGCCAAGAGTGAGCCGCCTCTCCCCCGAGCCAACACCTGCGGCCAACTGTAAACCTAACCCTAACCCTAACCCTAACCCTAACCCTAACCCTAACCCTAACGCTAACCCTGGTCAGCTGCCTGGTCCACAGCCAGAGAAGCCCTGTGCAAGGGGCAAGGTCATGCCACCCAGAGGCTGAGCCTCCAGTAGCCTCCCCACAGGCTGAGTCTGGGGCCCTGCCCCTTCGCTGTCCTTGGCTGTGACTGCCCTGCCTTTAAATTTATTGATTTATTTGCAGAGATGGAGTCTCACTATATCCCCCAGGTTGGTCTTGAACTCCTGAGCTCAAGCCATCCTCCCGCTTCAGCCTCCCAAAGTGCTGAGTTGACAGGTGTGAGCCGCTGTGCCCGGCCAGGCCTGCCTTTGGCTGATCTCTCCCATAGTCCCTGCCACTCACCTGTGTCCGCCAAGCCCGAGGGTCTGCTGTGTCCTGTCTTCCTGCTTCTGCTCCTCTCTCTGCCTGGTATCTCCCTTTGTCACTTCTGCCCATCTTTCAAGCTCAAATCTAATTATTATTACCTCTTTGAAGCAGAGGAAGATTCCCCCACTTCTGTCAACCTGGCTGTTCATCTACTTGGTTCTCCTGGGAGGGGTCTCTCCCTGCTCGGACCCACTTTATGACAGCAGACCTGAGGCCTGCTGCTTCCTATCACCCACATGTTTCATACTTGGTCTAGATAAACTAGTGGCTTCTGGGGAGTCCCCATCAGTGTGTTAGAGTCTGATCCCCCAATCCTATTCCTCATCCCCTTCCCCACACCCAGTGCCAGGGCCCCTCCCCAAAGGCCACCCTTGTTCTCTCCCTGAAACTGGCCTCCAGCCCAGGGCATGGAAGCAGTGATGAGTCATGTGGATTTCACTCAGGGTTTTCTTGAGCGAGAGCAAGCCTGCCATATTGCACATCCTAAAAATATCCTTTAAACCACTGTGCTCTTCTTGCAAGTTCCTCTCCCTGTGGAGCTGCCTCATCCTTGGTCTCTCCCCGCCGAGTTTCCCCTTGTGCCTCTCCAGTTTCGCTAGAAGTCCTGGCACTGCCATTCTCCATTCAGCAGAACAGCCGCTCTGTAAACAGTGGAGCGAGACCGCAGCCAGGTCAGGAAGCATCCCTAGTGCCTCGCCTCTTCCAGACTCCTAGGGAACATGCGCCCGGTTCTGGCAGGGAATGAGACCCTTTGAGAGGAAGGGAGTTGGGCTGGAGAAGGGAAGTAAGCCGGTGGAACAGGGAAGGCAGGATCCAGGGAGAGAATGGGCCTTGACCCTGGACTTGGAGGGACCCTGAAGGACCAGACTGTGAGCGGGTTCAACAGGGGCAGCTGTGTTTGTGCTGTGATGAGAGATCCTATTGATCCCTCGAAGGGAGGTGGGCTTTGGGTTGATGTCCACACCCCTCCCAGCATGCTGGGAATGTGAAAGAGAAGCAGGGGGCCCACCTTTCTGCTCTCCCGCCCAGCCCTTCCCTAGCCTTGGCTGGAGAGTTGGAGCGATGGGTGTGGCCCTGCCTATGACTGTGGTAGGCAGAATGGTAAAGCCCACCAACGACGTCCTAACCCCAGAGCCTGTGAATATGTTCCACTCCATGCAAGGGGAAGTTAAGGCAGTGGGTGGATTTGAGACCGCTTGTCAGCTGATGCAGGCTGGATTATCCTGAATCATCTGGCTGAGCCCAGTGGAATCATTAGAGTCCTTATCAATGAAAGAGGGAGGCAGGAGAGTCAGTGGAGCGATGCACTGTGGGAGACTCACTGACCTTTGCTGCCTTTGGGTAGGAAGGGACCATAAGCCAAGGAATGCAGGTGGTCTCTAGAAGCTGGGAAAGGCAAAGAAGCAGGTCCTCCCCTGAAGCCTCTAGAAGGAACCAGCCCTGTTAACACCTTGATTTTAGCCCAGTGAGACCCATTTCAGACTTTTGGGCTCCACAGCTGTATAAGCATGAGATTGTGCTGTTTTGAGCCACCAACGTTGTAACGATCAAACAGCAGCCACAGGAAAGCCACAGAGACAGCCACCCTTCCAGAACGCCCAAGGGTTCACCTTGCTTTTGCTTCCTGGGGCTTGAGGGGCTCAGCGGAGCCTGGAGCCCAGAGCCCACTCTCCAGAGCTCAGCCTGTTGCAGCTCCTCGGGGACAATCTCCCACAGTGCTCAGGTGTAGACAGGGTGGGGAAGGCCCGCTACAGACGTCACTGTTTCTCCCCTGACCAGGGCCACATGAGGGTCCCTGGAGGGAGCCCCTGAAGGAGAGGTCATGGGGTAGCCTAGGGAAAGGTCTGTGGGAGCCCAGCTCTGCTCACCTGGCGAGGGGGCTGGTAAGAGCCGTGGGCTTGCTGCTGTTGGTGTTCTGGCTGAGAGAAACTCCGGAGGCCATAACTATTGGGTTGGTGGTTCTCTTACGTTCTGCTGTGTCTCTTGTCCCAGGTGAAGCTGTGTCTGCTGTCCCAGGCACAGCTGTTTCCGCTTTCCTAGGTACAGCTGTGTCCATTGTCCCAGGTGCAGCTGTGTTCCTTTTCCCAGGCACAGTTGTTTCTGCTTTCCTAGGTAGAGCTGTGTCTGTTGTCCCAGGTGATGCTGTGTCTGCTGTCCCAGGTACAGTTGTGACTATGGTCATAGGTTTTGGACACATAGAGCAAAGGATAGTTCTGACGGTGGCCCAGGTAGCTTTCCTGTGGCCCACGCCATCCCCTACTCCTCCAAGTATTGTGAAATATTTAGTCTTAGCACTACAGGTCAGCTACACTTGTTTCATTTTGTATCTTTTTGCAATCTTATCGAAAATGTAACATTATTTCATTTACAAAGAAACACCACTGCACCACCTGTGAAGGATTTGTGGTGAGAAGCTGTGTAGGCAATTTACAGATCTTTAACTTAGTGACAGAGTCCTGCATGGCACAGCAGAGCATTGAGAACCACACTCTGCTTCCTTGAAGTCCTACATCAGAGCCAGCCAGCTCTTCTCTGAGTCTGAGCCGGGGTTCAAGCAGGCTCTTTGCTGCCTGCTGGTGTAGTGAAGAAGTGACCCTCACAGCCGGCTGCCTCTCCCTGGACCCTGCCTGGGGACTCAGGGCTCCTCTCCCCTGCAGCTGGGCTGAGTGTCTACTTCTGGCTGAGTTTTTCCTGCCTCCCAAAAGCTTCCTTATTTCACTAGGCTTGGAGGGTTGCAGCCTTTAACTCTCCCCCAGCTCCTCCTTTCCTTCCACCCATCCACACCCCCTCCTGCCTTTGTTCTCTTTTAAAGTCAATTTCTGAAACATTCTAAAACCAGCAGACTTCCCCACTGCATGCGCACATAGGCACACCACATTTGCATACAAGAAGCTGAAAAGGGCTTTTCCCTGCTTGGTAAATGGACCCACAAATAACAGATACATGATTGAGTGGGCATCTGTGCATGTGTATGGGGAGCTGAGAGTTTCCTTGGGGCCCATGGTGGAGATGACACTGATGGCTGTGGGGGTCGGGCTATGGGATGAGGGTGACAGCCTCTCTTTCTGAGAGCCCCCAGTTCTGAGTTCTGAGTCCCCTTAGAGGCTCAGGGCAGCCAGGGGAGACCCGTGGGAGGGCTCTGCACTGTGCCAGGTTCTGTGTTTCTCTCTTTCAGGAATGAGTCAGTCTCCCGTGCCCTCCTTTGCCCATATGTCACCAGAGGAGGGAGAGGAAGAGAGGGGGGTGGCACAGGGAGAGGGTCACCAATAGGCTCTTGGTCACTACATGCTTGTCTTGGAGCTTAGACCTCTGGGATTGTGACTTTCTTGCATTCCCCTCCCTGTACACCTGACAAGTGCCCCTGTCAGGTTGGGGCTGCCCTGAGGGGGCACGGTTGCCCCAAGTGACTTGCAGAAGAGAACCTGCCTTCTGTCTCACCCTGAACTGAGCCTGCCCAAGCCAGGCCAGTTCTACTTGGCTCCCTCTGGTAACAGCAGATAGAGATGTGCAGAGATGCTGGGGCTTCCTCTGTCTTCCAGTATTTCCAGAACCTTGGTGTAACCCCCACCAACACACACGCAAACATGCACACACAGACACACATGGCCCATTTGTACACATGCGTCTATGCACAGCACACACACAGACACAGGCAAGCCTAGGCACCCCCACGCACAGGCACACCCACACACACAGGCACACCCAAGCACACCCAAGCACACGCCCGTGGGTAGTCCCAGAGCAATGTCAAGACTGCATCACTGAATCCTCTTGGGTCAGCACCAGAGCTTGGTACAGGAGGGAGCTGCTCCTACCTGGGTAAACGGTCACTTCAACTTGGACCCCAAGGTCAGTGCCCGTCCTCTCGATGCCACACCAGTAGGTGTCAGTGTCCGACCTCCAGAGTATCTTCATGGTTATGGTGAACACACGGTTTTTCTGATCGTCCCTGATGGACACTCGGCCTCTCTCCACTGTGTGCTCTGATCCCGTAGTTATAACGAGGATTTCGCAGGACTTCCAGCCACTTCCATGGCACCACCACTTGCTGTAGGTTTCCCAGCCTTGGTCATAATGACACTGCACTGTCAGTGAGTCCCATTCTGTGCCCCACACAGCGCCAGGACCATAGATGGAGAAACACCCTGGAAGGCAGAACACAATGTTCAGCTCTTTCCTCCCTGGCACTGCCCAGGACTTCCGGCACCTCACTGGGGACTGACCAGGAGCCTTTGCCCTCAGCGCCCAAATTCTCGAATTCTCACATCCATTTGTTCCTTCATTCCCGGTGGTATGTCTTTTGTTGTCACCCCTCTGACAAAGTTCTCCTGAGGGCTCCCTGCCCAGCGCAGTGGTCTGTTCACCCTTCATCCTGGCAACCACCGAACGCCCTCTCATTTTGGAAACCTTCCCTCCTTTGCCCTGAAGTAATACCCACTTCCCCAGCAATCCCTAGCTCTCACTGCAGCCACCAGTCTATTTTATTTATTTATTTACTTATTTTTTGAGAGAGAGTCTCTCTCTGTCGCCCAGGCTGGACGCCGCTGGATCTTCTGTACCCCATGCTGGAGTGCAGTGGTGACATCTCAACTCACTGCAACCTCCACCTGCTGGGTTCAAGCGATTCTTATGCCTCAGCCTTCCAAGTAGCTGGGACTATAGGTATGTGCCACCACGCCCAGCTAATTTTTGTATTAGTAGAGACAGGGTTTCACCACACTGGGAGTGCTGGTCTCGAACTCCTGACCTCAAGTGATCTGCCCACCTTGGCCTCCCAAAGTGCTGGGATTACAGGTGTGAGCCACCAATTCCGGCCAGCCATTGATTTATTTTAAAATCCTAGAGCTGAGCAGGTAGACATCCTGGCTTCCTCCAGCTCCTCTCCCCCTGGCACAGCACCCCACACCCCTAAAATCCCTCCCACGTGAGTCTGCACATGTAATAAAGTTTCATGAAACCAAACACACCTACCCCCCCACACCCAACAGTCACACACTCGTGTACACACCTGAGTGCACAGTTGTTTTCCTTTGCCTAAGGACCATGCTATTTTTATCTCCATACCTTTGCACAAGCTGCTCCCTTTGCCCAGAAAGTTTTCTCTTTCTTGCTTGATGGACTCAAACCCTTATTGGGGTTGACTTACATTCCAGAGAGCGATTGCATCCTTGCCTCATTGCCTGTCTTCCTCCCTGTAACTCTGAGCTGCTCCATTTCAGTTACAAGTCAAGACCAGCTGTGGAGGCTTCTAAACTCCCAGATGTCTGGACCACGCCAGGACTGAGTGGGTCTGAGCTGGAACCTGAGTGTCTGTGCTCCTTTAAAGTTCCTCAGGGATTCATGCATTTAAGTGTGTGTATATGTGTGTATAAGCATGTGTATGTAACTACTTATTTACCTGTCCTTTCATCCATCTGTCCACCCGTCCATCCATCTATCTGTCTCTCATCTATTATCCATCTGTCTACTTATCTCTTATCTATCATCTTTCTATCTATCATCTGTCTATCAATCATCTGTTTGTCTGTCAATCATCTATTTTTCTGTCTATCTATAATCTATTATCTATCTATCTATCTATCTATCTATCTATCAATCATCTGCCAGGGTTGGGGAGAATCAGAATCCCCAACACCTACTTAGTAACAGTCAGATAACGAAACATTCCTTCCTTTTTTCCTTCCTTTGTTCTTTCTAATGCGTAAGTGCATGGATGAGTGCATTCTCCCCAACTTGTCTCCTTCCCTCCTGCACAGACCCTCTCTGTTTCCTGCTCAGCCTTTTGGGTTCCAGTTCCTCAAGCCCCAACCCCACTTACCTGGGAGGATGAGAAGGAGCAGAGCCGGTGGGTGCCACATGCTCCTGCCCACCTGTGCTCTCTTCCTGGAGATCAGCAAATACCAGCTGCCCTCTAGCAACCTGTGAGGAGCCCAGAGGCAAACTGCTTTCTATTTGTCTAAATCATTATTTTTCAGCTTTCTCAACTGCTTCCTTTTTTTTCCTTAGTTACTTCCTAAATTCATGAATTAGGAGAAACGCAGTGTTGTCATTCGGGAGTGTGTGTGGTATGACGACATATCTGCAGTGAACTAGAGAAGCAAAGGGTCAGGCCTGGCGTGGGTTCCACCTGCAGCTGTCAGTGATTTAGGAGCCTCTGCCAGCAATGCAGGGCAGGGAGTGTGGTGAGGCTCAGAGCGTAGATGGAAGGGATTGACGGCACGCTGGCTTTGCACCTGAGGAGGACACAGAGCACAGTGCTCCCCACTCCCACCCAGCCTTGCTGGAGAAACAGCCTGTGCCCCAGGCTCTTTCCAGGTGGCCCCACCACTGGGCATCTCAAACCACTCTTCCAGCCCTGGGCTGTCGTCTCTTCTTGAGCCTGACTCGGTGCCCCTCCCTCGGGAAGCTTCCTCTGGGGTCCTGAATCACTCTGAAGTGCAGGCTTGTGGTGGGGAGCTGGGGAAGGGGAAGCTGCATTTCGTCTCTAGCCCCACTTCACTCTGGCTGCTTCCTCCCCATCTCTGCACATTTTCCCTGCGATTGGCTGTTGGCCAGCCTCACTGCACCAAAACTGCTTACTCTACTGATCTCCAAAGTGACTTTCCCAGACTCTCCCCTCTTCCTTCAGACGGTCTCCTCCCTCCTCTGTCACCTGTTCCCTCTCCCTCTCCTCTTTTTTCTTTGCTGAAGCCCCTCCTTGCTCTCACTGCCATTCCTGCCCCCACCAGTCTGCATCTCCTGGAGCCTGTCCTGATGCTCTCCTCTGGGGCCTTTCTCTCCAGGGAGTGTCCTCACCTGCACTGTAAAGTCCCCTCCATGCACAGGACTGTCAAAAGCAGTTTGCCACCTGATTTCCTGCCTCAGTGCTCGGCTCTCATTCCAGGTGCCTACTGGATGTTTCCTAGAGATATCCACCCTATTAACAGCTCAGATGTGCTCAAAATTAAATTCCTTGTCATTTTCACTCTAAAATTGGTCTGTCGGTGTGCCTGGTCCATGGGTCTGGGGCCTCCTGACTCCCTGCTCCATCCCCCCCAACCAATGCGCTATCAGTTTAGCCTTCCTGCAAGAAAAAGCCCATCATATCTTCACTTGCAAAGGGCCTTGCAGGGGTGGAAGATTAGAGACAGAGCAGCAGAGGGCTTTGCCAGTGGGAACAGGGGAGGGTGTGGTGGGTCAGTTCTGGGAGAGGAAGTGCTGGAGGAGGCTCCTGAGCAGCCTCTGTTTATGTTTGTTTGTTTATTTATTCATTGTTTATTTATTTATTTATACTCCAGTCACCCAGACTGGAGTGCAGTGGTGTAATCTCGGCTCACTGCAACCTCTGCCTCCTGGGTTCAAGCGATTCTCTTGTCTCAGCCTCCTGAGTAGCTGGGACTATAAGCATGCGCTAGCATGCCAGGCTAATTTTTGTATGTTTAGTAGAGATGGAGTTTTGCCATGTTGGCCAGGCTGGTCTTGAACTCCTGGGCTCAAGTGATCTGCCCGCCTTGGCCTTCCAAAGTGCTGGGATTACAGGCGTAATCTAGGCCTTCTGTTTATGTTTGAATGCTGCACCTTCTCTTGGGATCTCGGAGTGTCTCAATGAGCCCTGGTGCTTCTGCCTACAGTCAGGAACTCATGGGTGGGGGCAGGACTTCAGGAAGAATAGACTTCCTTCCTTCCTTCCTTCCTTCCTTCCTTCCTTCCTTCCTTCCTTCCTTCCTAGTTTGATTGAGGTATAATTGAGATAAACTGCATGTATTTAAAGTGCACAATTTGAAGCACTTTTTTTGTTAAGATTTTTTCAAATTTACTATTTCTGAGCATTCAGCTAGTTTCAAGTTTGGGACCATGATGCATAGTGTGCTGTGAGCATTTTAGGCGGTGCCTTTGTCAGGCATCTGGTATCCTCCTTAACAGCTTTTGAAGGGACCTCCATTCCCTTTATCTGCAGACATAATTGTGCTATAGATCAGACTGATAAGGTCTGGCTGTGTCCCCACACAAATCTTATCATCTCATCTTGAATTGTAGCTCCCATAGTTGAATTACCTGGTGGGAGGTAATTGAATTGTGGGGGTGGGGTTTTCACTTGCTGTTCTTGTGATAGTGAATAAGTCATGAGATCTGATGGTTTTATAAAGGGGAGTTCCCCTGCACATGGCTCTCTTGCCCGCCACCATTTAAAACGTGCCTTTGCTCCTCCTTTGCCTTCTGCCATGAGGCCTTCCCAACCATGTGGAACTGTGAGTTCATTAAACCTCTTTTTTTTTTTTGGTAAATTACCCAGTCTCGGGTATGTCTCTTTCAGCAGCATGAAAATGGACTAATACACAGGCCAAGACCTAAGTTCAAAAGAAGTGAAACTTCAGTGAAAACTCAATCCTTAGCCTCAACAGGTCAGGCTCCTGGGAGGGAAAAGTAGGAACCCGAGAATGGGACATTTGACGATTCAGTTGAGCCCTTGAGTCTCCCGTGGCAGAGCGGCCCAACGCACTTGTTAGAAGGTAACAGCTCCCCTGTTGAAGATGATGCTGAGGTCTCCAATGAAGCAGATGCCTCACCAGACACTGCTGCCCGCTAAGGATCTACTTGAGGAATCTGCCCTCACTTCTCTTCCTGACCCGTAACTGAGGTTGAGGGTCAGCCTGGCGCACCTAGGGACACGCTGGGCTGCTGAGGGAAAAGGAGAACTAATATACACTGGCTGGCATGAACCAGAAGAAAGTGTGTGAGAGTGAATCCCGGCTCGGTGGACTGTAGTGCTGAGGCAGGAAGGGTTTGTCAACATAGGGGTACTCATCCATGCAAGGTGGGAGGACTCACCACTTGCAATGCTGGGAGACTGCTTCTAGTGTTCTGCTGGGATGGCTCTGAGAAGCTTGAAAGCAACAAAACCCCACATTCAATGATGTAAAGATGTCATGCAGGGTGTGGAAGAAAGGATCAGAAGGCTCAAGGAAGCACAGAGAATCTTCAGGGCAGTGAACCTGCTCTATATGATGCTCTCACAGGGGATCCATGTCATCATCCGTTTGTCCAAACCCACAGAATATGCAATGGAGGGTCCAGCCCTACAGGGTCCTTTGAGCCCCTCTCTGCTGGTGTGGAGACAAGAAACTGTAGAAATAAAGACACAAGACACAGAGACAGAGAAAAGAGAATTTGGGCCCTGGGGTTCACTGCCGACCAAAGCGTGGAGTCTGGCAGTGGCCCTGAGTGCCTGGACGCTCTGACTTTTATTGAGTACAAAGTAGGGGGCAGGGCAGGTAGGTCGTGGTGCAAAGCTGGGGACAGGGTAGGTAGGGCATGGCATTGGTAGTCAGTGACAGGGTCAAGTACATCACGTGTGTCATATAGGTAGGGGCCCAAGACATTCTAGTAGCTGAAATGAGATAAGGAGCATAATGAGTCAGCACTTTTCCATACTTGTCAAGAAAGAACAAAGACATTATTACTTTTACTGATTAGCTCTTCTAAGAAAAAAGGAACCAGGTGCAGAAGCGGAACATGAGCGCGGATCTGGACCGTGACCGCTGAAGCACAGCATCACATAGAGACAATTAAGCCCCCGGATGTCTGTGGGGCTCTCTGACAGCTGTCAGCCCCACCGCAAGAGCTTGGGGGAGTTGAGTTTTCTCCTAACTCCTCTGGAGAAGGGGACATCTCTGACATCTCCTTCGGCAGCTTGCTAAACAGTGGGCGCTTTCCCAGTGCTGGTGCTGCTGCATAGCCAAGGCGCCCTCTAACAGCCCTTTCACGGCGGTGACAGAGGGCTTAAAGCGTCTTGCCTTAGAATCATTCCTTTCACAATGTCACCCCAGGTGCACACTTCGAGACCTGAAAGGCATTAGTAAAAGAATTAAGGCTACCCATGAATGACTAAGATCACCTATGAATAACTACTGGAGTTATATCTCTAGTTGTTTTCTTCTTCATTACTTATATGAGGCTGAGGCTTCTGACTCCTGCCTCGGCACTTATGGGGTCTCCGCCCCACAATGCAACACTAACAGTGAATCCTAATGCAAACTTGGACTTCAGATGGTCATGGCGTGTCAACATATTCACCAACTGTAGCAGACGTCTCACTCTGGTGGGAGATGTTGATAATGGGGGAGGCTGTGCCTGTGGGAGGGGAGAGGCACGTGGGAAATCTCTGTACTTCCTGCTCAATTTTGCCATGAGCCTAAAATTGCTAAAAAAAGAAAGGTTGTTTTTAAGAAGACGCAAATTAAATTATTTGATTGTGTTTTCAGGTAAAAATATGCTGGTTCCACTTCAGCAGGCTAAAATAGCATGCTAAACTAAGAGAAGTGAAACTTCAGTGAAAACTCAATCCTGCTAAATTAGTATGCTAGAGTGGAGCTAGCATATTTTACCTGAAAACACACCAAGTGATAATTATCCTTGGGATGCCCTGGAGGATACTCCAATTCCAGGGAAATAAGAACTATGCTGGTGATGGAGCATTAGCATTAATGAGAGGCTCAGCTGTGGCTGTCTCCGTAGGCCAGGCTTACGGGAGGAGATGCCTTTACATAACCGGGCTCCACAGGAGCAATGGGACTGAGAGAATTCCAGAAGGGAAGAGGGCAGGTTGGAGTCACTGGGTGGTCTGAGACAAGCTGAGCACTTGGACCAGGCAGCGAGTCCTGAGCAGAACCAGAGGCAAAATTAAGATCCTAGAGACAAGAGAGGTGGCCCAGGGGTTCTTGCCCTGATTTCTAGAAATGGAAGTGGATACACTTAGCAACTGGCACATATGAATACTGACTCTCTGGTCTGTGCAGTAAAAGTGATCAGACTGGGGAAGGCCAAGTGGAAGCCTCTGAGGCTGTCCCTCTGCTGTGGCCAAGATAATAAGTAAATCCCAAACAATATCACATTCTTCCAGGAACACAGAGATGAGTGCACCCTCCCAGACAACGAAAACAAGCAGTGATCCCATCAGATCTGCCTTTAATTTCCCAAGGTCAATGGGCTAGTGAAAACGTAACCAAGAGGCTGGGCTTGGTGGCTCACACCTGTAATCCCAGCACTTCGGGAGCCTGAGGCAGAAGAATCACTTGAGCCCAGGAGATTGAGACCAGCTTGGGCAACAGAGCAAGATCCTTTCTTTACCAAAAAGTTTTTTTTTTTTTTTTTTAATTAGCCAATGCAATGGTGCACAACTGTAGTCCCAGCTACTCAGGAGGCTGAGGCAAGAGGATCACTGGAGCTCAGGAGTTGGAGGCTGCAGTGAACTATGATTGTGCCATTGCACTCCAGCTTGGGCAACAGAGTGAAACCCTGTCAACAACAACAAAACAAAAAACAAAACAAAACAAAACAAAACACCTACCACCATATTAAGGAGTAGCCACATTTCCAGCTTCTGTGCCAACAGTGATGGGTTTACTAGAGTAGATGAATGTAGCCTGGTATGCTGTGTGTGACTGTTGATTTGGCAAAAGAATCCTTTCTGCCACCAGCAGAAAGGAAGAACAGAGGCAGGTGCGTTCACTTGGCATGGACAGCAGTATATGTTCATAGTCTTGTTCCAGGACGGTGTTAATCTTCTTCTAAGAAACCTGGATTGTCCAGCCATTGCCCAGAACATTCATCGGCCTGCCTGAGCTTCTGCTCTGGAAAAGTCAAAGTTCAGACCATCGTCCAGTGCGGGAAGTGCAACAGGTACAGAGTGGTATCCCCAGGGACAGGCTGAGTTGACCAGAAATGACAAGGTCTGTATTTCTGGGCTCAATATTAAGTACAGTGGTAGGATCAGGGTTCACTGCAGCCTTGACCTCCCAGGCTCAAGTCATCCTCACACCTCAGCCTCCTGAGCGAGCAGCTGGAGCTACAGGCACGCGCTCCGCACCCAGCTGATTTTTATTTATTTATTTATTTATTTTGTCTTGCTATGTTGCCAGGGCTGCTCTCAAGCTCCAGGGCTCAAGCTACTTTCCTGCCTCAACCTCCCAAAGTGCTGAGACTATAGGTGTGAGCTGCCGCAACCAGCTTTTATTTCTTGTAAATAACTCTCAGATGTATTTTTTCTTTAAATATTTACCTTAATTGTTGTCTTTCCATTCTGATGCAGAACCTTTTTTTTTTTTTTTTTTTTTTTTTTTTTTTTTTTTTTTTTTTTTTTTTTTTTTTTTTTTTTTTTTTTTTTTTTTTGAGATGGAATCTCACTCTGTCACCAGGATGGAGTGAAGTGGTGCAATCTTGGCTCACTGCAACCTCCGCCTCCCGGGTTCAAATGATTCTCCTGCCTCAGCCTCCCAAGTATCTGGGACTACAGGCACACACCACCATGCCCAGCCAATTTTTTTTGTATTTTAGTAGAGATGGGGTTTTGCCACGTTGGCCAGGATGGTCTCGATTTCCTGACCTCGTAATCCACCCGCCTCGGCCTCCCAAAGTGCTGGGATTACAGGCGTGAGCCACCATGCCCCGCCTAGAGAAGAACTTATAAGATGTAGGAGGGGATGGAATGTTGCTGCCATGTTTACACCTAACTTTACTTGCTTTTATCTTAAAAGTTAGCTTTTCCTAGGAATTTTGAAACTGGAATTTGTAACGATGTATGTTGCAAATCTGTGTGGTGTGGATCCCATAGAACATAGAGACCAGTTGGGGTCACTGTTTTGGTCGAATTCAAAGGGATTCACCCAGGGTGATGAACTGCAGCAGAGCCACTAGAAACTGTTAGAACCACCAGGAACAGCCAACCAACAAGGCAGCAGTCATTCTCCTGTGGAAAAGGGTCTTCTGTGATCTCCTCCCCATCAGACCAGTATAACACAGAGATGGTTGCAAAAGAGCCTTCCTTGGAATAGAAAGAACTGTTGGCCGTAGGGAGGGGGGACGGGTGAACTGCAGGAAGCTGTCATTGCTCACTGTCAACATTTGTGTCTTTTTGGGGATCTGTAGTTGTGCTCTTCAGTGATTTTCCTGTTCACTTTGACACAGTGGAATTTTGAAGGACAAAGACTTGTCTTGTGGAAAATGTGTTCTTTCTTCAACTGTTGTAAGGCACTTGGATTTAACAGCTATTTCCAGTGCAGGAGGCGTGGCCCTGCCCTTGGGGTGGGAGGTGATGGCACACGGATTTGTGTTTTCCAGGCTACTCCATTGCCACTGAAATCACTGGTCCAACCACGGTGAACGGCCTGGAGCGGGGCTCTGACTGTGCGGTGTGCTTATGGCTCACAATGGGAGACTGCGGTGTGCTTATGGCTCACAATGGGAGACCTACTTGAAGTGGTGGTGTCGAGGAGCTGTTTGGAGTAGCTGTGAGATCCTTGTTAAAACCACTGGATCAGAGCAGGAGGTGAAGAGGGACCGGTTGTCCATCAGGGATGATCAGAAAAACCACGCATTCACCGTGACCATGAAGGATCTCAGAAGAGATGATGCTGACACGTACTGGTGTGGGATTGAGAGAACTGGAACTGACCTTGGGGTCAAAGTTCAAGTGACCATTGACCCAGGTAAGAGGGAGTGTATGCTTGGATTTGTCTCTCAGGGCCCGCTTTGACCTGGTCCCTGAGGTCCTACTTGAGTAAATTAACTGCCACTCAGAGAGACCTGTCACAGAGGGTGGCTGAGTCCTGAGGTCTTGCTATGGTTTTGAATATTTGTCCCCTCCAAAACTCGCGTTGAAACTTCATCCCCAATGTGGCAGTATTGAGAGACAAGGCCTTTAAAAGGTGATTGGGTCATGGGGGCAGAGTTCCCATGAATGAATTAATCCATTCGTCGATTAAAGGGTGAATGGGTTAATATGGGAATCGAACTGGTGGCTTTATAAGAAAAGGCAGACAGATCTGACCTAGCACACTCAGCCCGGTCACCATGAGCTGCCCTGAGCCATCCTGGGACTCTGCAGAGAGTCCCAGCCAGCAAGAAGGCCCTCCTGAGGTGTGGCTTCTCAACCTCGGACATCTCAGCCTCCCTAACTGTAAGAAACAAGTTCCTTTTCCTTATAAATTACCCAGTTCCAGATATTCTGTTATAAGCAAGAAAAAGTAGACTAAGACAGGTCCCATAGAACCCTGATGGGCCACTTGGGATTGGGGGTTCAGGGTCTCTCTTCAACACCCCCAGGGCTCCGAGGGCTCCCTCCATGATGGGATTAAGTCTTTCTAGGGGCTTTTTTCTCTCTGCTCAGCTCAGTGCCTGAGTCTGTTGCCCACAGATGACAGGGTGGTTCCAGTTCCAGCCCATGGACCAAAGGGTCCCCCTCCCATGTTAACCAGAAACCCCAGTTACTGCTGGAGCCTTCTTGGAACTTCTTTATAGCACTGAGTACCTGTGTTAGAAAAGAAGAAGGGCCTCAAGTCAATGGCCTTAGCTTAAGAAACTAGGGAAAAAAGGATTAAAGTAAACTCAAAGCAAGCACCACAACACAGATAATATTAAGACCACAGCGAAAATCAGTGAAATCAAAAACAAAAGTAATAGGGAAAAATCAATGAAATGAGACACCTTTTCTGTGAGAACATAAAAAACTCTGTTAAACTTCTAGCTAGACTGATCAGGAAAGAAAAAGAAGACACAAATTACTAATATCAGAAATGACAGAGGTAACATTACAACAGATTTTACAGCTACTAAAAGAATAATAAGTGAATATATGTTGTAAACAACTTTTATGCCAATATATTCAACAAGTTAAATGACATGGAAAAACATCCTCGAAAGGCACAAACTACCAGTCACTCAAGAAGAAATAGATAACTGGAATAGCACTATATCTATTAATGAAATAGAATTTGTCACAATCTTCTGATAAAGAAAATTTCAGGTTCAGATGGCTCTTTGGTGAGTTCTGGACCAGATAATATCAATTCTATACAAACTCTTCCAGAAACTTGAAATCTGAGGCTGGAATCAACCTGGTATACAAACCAGACCAAGGCATTACAGAAAAAGAAAATAATTCCTTCTAAACAAAGATGCAGAAACTCTAAGTCAACTGTTAGCAAATTGAATTCAATAATATATAAAAGGATGCTATGTGATGACTAAGTGAGGCTTATCCCAGAAATGCAAATTTAACTTAACCTTCAAAGATTAACCAATATATCTTGAGCGCACTACACAATAAAACTCATGTGATCATCTCACTAAACACAGAAAAGGCCCCCCATGTGTCCTCATGGCCTCTTCAGAGAAGGACACCAGTCAGATCGCATTAGGACTTATCCTAACAGACTCATTTTAACTTAATTGCCTCTTTAAAGGTTCTATCGCCAAATACAGTCACATTTTGAGGTACTGGGGACTAGGGTATCAACATATGATTTTTAGGGGGCCACAGTTCAGTCCCTAACACCTGGGGACAGAGTAAGGAGGAGGGCGGGCACGGGGATTATGAATACATTCACCGTCCTGATCACGTGATGGTGTTACCACGTACATACATACATCAGAGTTCAAAGTATTGTCCACTTTAAATATTTACAGTTTATTATGTGTCAGTTATACCTTGATTTAATCACAGAAAAATGATATAAAAAGATAAATATGATGCTATGATCTCTTATTTTTAGATTGCTCCAGAAGCAAACTGAATATCAAAACTCACTACACACACGGGTAGAGTGAGTAGGGTGTGGTGCCCAGGAACCGGCACCCAGTGGAGGCTGGGAGGCATGTGACATAGCGAGGCTTCACTGTGGGTGAGGAGGGTGATTGCGAAGCTGCTGGAAGACCGGAAAGGGTCAGAGACGGAGGGGCGGAGGTGGAGGGCGCTGGGCCCAGAGGCAGAGAGCCAGGAGTCCCGGGTTCCCTAGAGGAGGCTCAGCAAGGGGCCAACAGCTCAGCAGCGAATCACTCCAGACCGAGTGATAAGGAGTTCACCTCGGCCACGGCTGAGACTCAGAAAAGAGCTAGCCTAGCCCAAGGAGAGCAGAACGCTATCGAGTGCGCTAAGCTGTGCCATGCAACTGATGACTACAGACTCCCTTCTCAGTCTGCTCCTCAGAATTTCTCTTGGTTCATTCCCGTTAGACAAGAATTCATGTAGGATTCTGGATGCTAACCAGAGAGTCTTGGATTCCAAGGCAGAGGCTCCTTAATTCCTAGGTGGAGAAGCCTGAGGGCCACAGCCAGAGCTGGGCCATCCATGGAAGGGGTGAACTATGTTCTGCTTTGTCTGTTTAGACACAAAATTCAGCCCCAGAATGGACAACTACAACAGCAAGTCTGGCACGTACAGCTGCAGCCACCCCGAAGACCACCGCCCCCATCACCAGGTAAGCAGAGCTGGGTCCCACCACTCTCCCACTGGCCTGGTCCCATGGCTTCTCCACTAGCAGGGGTTGCCAGCTACAACAGCATGTCCAGTTAAACCGTGGTTTCAGACCAACAACAAAATATTTTTAGCATAAGTATATCCCAACGATTTCATGGGCTATACTTACACTAAAAAAAAAAAAAAATGTTGTTTATCTGCACTTCAAATTTAACTGAGTATGCTATGCTTTTATTTGCTAACTCTGATAATCCTGCCTTCTGGGGGTACTCAGGCTGGGACCCCCATAAGCCCCCACTGTTGTATCTTTGTATCAGTAAAATCGCTGCAAACCTGAGGTGGGGTGCCCCAACCTCAGTTTACCTTTGAGGAAAACAAGATTTCCCATCTAAGCTTTGGCTACATGAAGGCAAACGGCAGCTAGGTGGCAGGACAGGGGACTGAACCTGCCCTCCCCGCTTCCTGGGGTCAAAAGGCCGTATCAAGTTTTGGCCTCTAGTGAGTGAGGAGAGACACCGCTCTCATCTGCTCCAAGTTTCTGCCCCAGAATAAATATTGTTCCAGCCTCCCTCTCCCCAGGTACCAGAGTAGGGGAGTGGAAAATGCTAGAGGGAAATGGGGATGCTGAAAGTTCGGCATTCTCGCCCTCCCAAGCTGACAGAGGGGTCTGGAGGATTAGTCTGATGCTCACCAGCTTTGGAGGTATCCGGAAGAGTCCCCAGAGGTCAGCACCTGTGTGCTAGCCGTTGGATTCCATCACAGCCTGCTGTGGTCAAGCCGCCCAGGTCAAGGCCAAAGCCCAAACCACAGCCCCTCCCGCTCCTGATAGAGCCCAGCACAGAGGCGTGTGTCTCTGGCTCAGTCTTTCTAGAATTGCTCCTCAAGGCTTGTCAGTTCCCTCTGCAGTTCAACTCTG